CCAAATACATGTGAAAACATTTTGGGAAATGTAAAGCACATTTTGAATCAGAGAGATAATAGACCTTTACCAAGGGACATTGATGTTCCATATTACAGGCTAAATGATGCTCTTAGAATATGTCTATTGATAGTATGATTATTCGGATAAACTTCAGGGATCAATATTCTAGAAATCATTAAAAGCCATCATCCTAGTGCTACTGAAATCACTCTTTTGTATATAGTGGGTGCTGGAAAACTAATATCCATTGAATATATTTTGCAAATAGTTTTCTCATCTAGAACGCAAACTTGCTGTTGTCCTGGGCCTATCCATTGTATTGCTCAATAAACAGCTGTCCAGATAATTATCTCTCACTTTGGAGCTTTTCTTTCCCAAATCAAATCTCTCCTAATGCACGATTTGTCCTCCTGTCCAGAACCCCTCTTCTTTGAGCTAATTTGCATTATGTGCACACAATCCTTGACTATGTTCCCACCTGATTGGTAGTTGTGTCTCTCTCATGCTCAACACTCAGTAAGGACTTTATTTTATTTTACTCATATTGCTTTATAGTTACTATGTCTGGTCTCCACAATTAGACCATATATTTTTCTGTGTCTCCCAGAGTCCCAGTCCCATGTCTGAGGAAAAATAGGTGGCAGGTATAATGTGATAACATAAATCTGAAGAGTTGTGAACCTATAGCTCTGAATCATAAACAGTGTTGCAAACCAGTGTTACCTCAATAAAAGAATTACAGGCCCAGGTTTGTGTCTCAACCTAATAAAATACTGCAGTGCGAATTTAACCAAGTCCCTTTGCCATCTGAAATTATTCCTTCATCTTTAAACCAAAGTGATTAGGTTTAGATTAGACTAGCATTCACATTCATGATTATTTGGAGGTCAGAGACCCCTCAGAGTTTTTGCAGAAAATTATGGACCTTCTTTCTGGAGAAGGTACAAATACTACTATAAATGGAATTCCAAAATGGTCACAGTTTCTCTAAAATTCACTCACAGATTCCCTAGAGGACTGTAAAATTATTTCTAAGGTCTAAAGTGTGGAGAGGGGGAAAAAAGGAATAAACTTACATTTGCTACTCTCAATGTGAATTAGCTTTAAAATGTGAATTTGTGCCACACGTCATTTGAAGATATAATTGCTTTTTTTGGGTAACTTATAGCACTCACCAGAGAATAAATATTTCAGTAGAACAAAATATCTCCTCTGTGGATTAATAACATCTCAGGGTCAGTGAAGTTGTTAGTTTGCCCTGCTCCTCATTACAGAGATCCCTGTATAACCTCAGAGACCACAATTTAGCTTTGGCTTGAACATATGCAGAGATGGGGGGCCTCACTCATGTTTATTGCTGGGCAAACAAAGAATTTAAGACTTTTCTTCTTTATATTGAGCTATAATCTTCCCTCGCTACATAAATGTAAGTCATTGGCCCTATTTTTGCTTTCAGGAACTGCACAGATAAACTTTATTTTTCCCCCAGCTTTCAGGAATAGGAAGGATCTTATATCCTTTCAGCTATCTCTATGTTAAACATTCCAGTTTCACATACAATTTCTCTAGAAAAGTGATTTCATAAGACTTCTTTTAATTCCAATTACCTTCTTTAAAAGAAATCTTGAAAAGCAGAGTTCAGAATCAGGCAATATAATCCAGACAAGATCCGACCACCTTAGTGAGCAAGCAGTTTCCTATTAAACAGCTGACTCAGCTGGTAGGAAAGCCACTAACACTGTCAAGAGCTCTGTTCATAGAAGCAGGTAGTTACCTGGCCATGTTGAAATTGTCAACCTTATGCTTTAATCTTAACATTATTGTATTTACAACCAAATGAATATTGCTGATAGGAAAAAACAAAGATTCAAAACACAAATTGACCAACCATCCATTACCTAGTAGAAAGTCGACAATAGTCTGAACTACTTTGAGAGCAAAATAATTTGTGTTTCTGCAGAGATGTTGCATAGAAATGGCCTATGGAATAGCTCTCTGATAATTTATCACCAAATCCTGCTTCATCAAAACCTTCCCAGCTTTGCCTAAGTGAGTGATTTTACTTTATTTATTTATTTCTTTAAAGATTTATTTATTTATACAAGCACTAGGCACAATCAGAAGTGTGGGAGGGTGAGAGAATTCACCAGAGCCAGAGCAGGGAACAGAATAGGCAGACTGATGAACAAATGCACTGCTGAGGGAAAGGTCTGTCGCGCCATATGGGACCTTCTCTGGTGGCCGGGGATCGAACCGGCGCTGCAGAGGCTGCGGGCATCTTCGCAGCCCAGTGCTCAACTGCTGATCCACCGGGGAGGCCCTGATTTTACTTTAAAAAGGCTTTCTCATATAACGTTTTGATCATTATTATTGCAAAAATAAATTTATGGGCCTCCCCCGTGGTGCAGCGGGTTGAGCACAGTGCTGTGAAGCTGTCCATACCTCTGCAGCGCAGTTTCAATTCCCAGCCAGCCAGGGAGATACCCACATGGTGCAGCAAACCTCTCCTGTCTCGCCTCCTGCTCCCCTCAATCTTGCTTTCAGTCAGTCTGCCTGTTCTGCTCCCCACTCTGCCTCTGGTGAATCCTCTCACCCTCCCATGCCTCTGGCCTGTATCCCAGCTATTGCACAAATAAAAAATAAATCTTTAAAAAACAATAAAGTTAATGTAAGTTAGGGTAAGCAAGTAGACCTATATTCAAACATGGGAAGTAGCTGACTAGTGATTAATAAATTGGACATCTTGGTTATCATTTTTTAAATGTTTGTCCTCCAAACATGGGCAAATCAAAGTTGGTATTAAATCATTAACCCAAATTGTCTTGAACATAACTTCATTACTGTGTAGTTACCTTGTGGATGAGAGGAATGAACTCTGGAGTAAATAGAAACTTTGAAAACCCAGAGAAGTACAAAAATTCAGCTCAGGTAAAATAGTGGCAGCTGGTTGAATGATTTCTTTCATATTTCAGAGGAAATCCCAACATCCTCCAAACCAGTTAAGTGCTATTCTAAACATATAATAAATCCTAGAGAATGCGAGAAAAATCTAGGGCAGCTTGCAAAAAGCTAATGGGGAAACTGAACTGCAATCTTTTGACAATGGACTCTTATGATTAGTTCATTCATTCAGTGTATATTGAGGGATTATGGTGTGTTAGAACTTTTCTGGAAACTATGCTATCTTTATAACCTTGAACAAATCACTTGTCTTGTCAGAGTCTAAATTTTATAATCTTGGTATTTATATCATGGAATTATGAGATTTTGTGATACATATATAAGACTTAGTGTAATGACTTATTGGAACTCAATGAAATCCTTTCCCTTCTCCTTAGCAATTAGATCTCTTTATTTTCCCTTATGTACTTTATAATAATATGAAATAAGTTCTATTTCTTAATAACAAAGGTCTCTCTACAGTCTTGGGTCAACAGGAATTACAAGTGATCTGTGTTTGCAGATGAAATTAAAGTATTTAAATATTATTACAACTGATCAAATATTTTTGCAAGATAATCCACCAAGTCCAAGGATGTCATTCTTTGCCAAATAGTGTTCTGAGGCTTGCTGACCAAAGCACATGCAAATATGTACCTTTTTTTCAGTCTCTTTGATTCATAGCAAATATGAGTTGTGACTTCCTTTCATTTACCCATTCTAAATGAAATTTTTTAGTAATACTTAGAATAATTTCATAAACCTATATTCTGAAGTACCAACTGTGTACAAAATTTTCCAACTTAAGCATCACTATATACAGTATCAGGTAGTATGATGTTTTAGCACAATAATCAAAATGAAATGGAAAATGATTTTACAGATTGAGTAGGATTATAATTGTGCCTTCTGACATGTACTCCAAATTTGAATTATTAAGAAATAATCTGAAAATATATTATTATGGAACAGCCAAAGCCAAATAGCAAGTTGTTTATTCTTTCATTAATTCCACCAATTTTTTGTGCAACAAATATTAACAAGCACCCATTATTTGTCAGATACTGTGCTTGGGACCCCAAAGTGAAACAATGTGATTCTGACATCAAGAAGTTTGCTGTAATGAGAGAGATACGTAAACAAATACAATTCTGTAGTGTAATTGATACAAGGGAAATTAAAACAGTGCAGAAATAAGAGCAAGATCTAGCTAGGTAACTATTTGGGAGTTAGTGGAGCCTTCACAGAGCAGGCAAGCTGAGACCTGAAGGATGAGTGGAGATTCTCAGGTAGGTAAATGGGAAGACAATATTTGGCAGTGAGAATAGAAGAAGAAAAGCACCAAGGCTTGAAAGAGCCTGGAGTGATAGCAAATGTGGCAGAGGAGGTTAGCATGGGTAACCTGTACATGACTGTGAATGGGGCACTGGGAAAGGACTGATGAGAAGTGAAGCTGAATAAGGTGGAAGAGAATAGCTCATACAGCTATGTAACAGGCAAAAGTATGCCAATATTTTCCTTTTGGTGGGTGATGGGGGAAGTTATTGAAGAATTTTGAATGCAGAAGTTTCATAATTAAATGGGAATGTTCTGATGCCTCAAGAAGATTGACAGTATCGTGAGTCAGTTGTTGACAAGTTACAGAGATGGCACACATACTGCTTTGTCCTAGGGATTTCAATGGTTCTCTTTGTAATAGAATTCAGGTTGCCAAAAGAAATATTTAAACTAAATGATATATCAGAATTACCATAAGAGCCCGTGAGCAGATTTTTACTTAACATACAAGACTGTGTATGTTTAATAGACTGTGATGTAATTCTTAATGGAGAAGATTTAATTATGGAAGACGATCTGTCTCTAATGGAAGTTTGGCTATGTGTGCTTTCATTCCTCAGTGAATAAAAGGTTTACATAGGATTATGTTGTTGAGATTCTTGGAAAAAAGCACATGTACACCTACAAAAACTTTCCACTCATTATCTTTTGCAGCAAAACAGTTAAAATCTATCAGAGACAGATTTTACTTAAATTGAACATACACTTTATAATTGCAGGGGTGAAGCATCTGAAAGGCCAGAATGAATCAGCATTCCCTGAAGAAGAAGAAGGTGTAAATGAAAGAGAGGAACAGTGGGACCATTAGTTATGGGTCCCCAGCAAGAAGGCTTCTTGGGAATAAATGAACTATTAACTTTTCTGGATATGGAGCATCACAGAGCACCGCTGCTTGATTCCAGAAGTATTCTACATCTCTGCTCTCCACACACATACAGTAGTAGTACACATCTGGGAAGCCCTCACTGATTGAACTTTAGAACTAAGTAAAGTTGTTCCATATTAATTAATTGAAGAATAAGCATTTATTTTATGGTAATTTTTCTTTTTAATGACATAGAAATTTGCAAACATGTGAGTGTTCTAACTTTAATAATGCAGAGCTTAATCCCCGTTGTCCTACTCATATGATTATCTTCTAAGGTCAAATGTAAATACTATTATCACTTTAAGAATAAAAAATAAATGCATTTAGTCATGATTGTGTGTCTGGGTTTGACTTGCAGGTCTTTTAACTTCAAAGCTTCATGGAATACTCTCTGTATTTCTCATGTTTCTGTGTACAGAGTGCTACTTAGAGTGCTACTTCAATTCCAGTACTTATTTCAAAATGATGCAGATGTCAGATTTCTTGATGCAAAAGGTCAATATGTTAGTCTTTTTTTCCCCTCCAACAATACAATATATTTTTTTTTTTTTACTTAAGGACTACAGAATTCTCTTTATTTTCTCAGATGTGAAGGACAGTTTCCCATCATTGCTTCCAGTTACTTGAAAGAAAATGTTAAATCTATATTAAAATATGCCAAATCTCCTTGCCACTTGTTTTGGTTATTACTTGAAATATGAGCTATCTATTTGATGTTGCATTTTTATAAGTCATTAGAATTTTACAAATCTATTATAAAATAAAAAATCCATTAGTTCATACACATAGTCATTCATTAATCCAATTTCTATTTTTTATGAACTTATTCCTAGAAAGGCTCTTTACTAGAGGTTATGGAGATAAAGTTCTCTCTTATTGAACTGACAGAGAAGACAAAGAATTTGCATGAAACAAGGTTTTCCTTATTTATTTATTGAATATGGTTTGATAACTTAAAATTTTGTTCTTCTGAACAATACCAATTTCTCATGACATATCAGTATAAAGTATCTGCATCATAAAAGTTAATCCATCCATTTTTCATGGATGAAAAAATATGAAAAGATTTCTCAAGTTAGTGGACTAAATTAAGACAGAAAAAAAAATCAAATGTGAACTCACTGTGGGATCTTTATATCAAGATTGAAAATGTAAAGCCGTTGTTTTTTTTTAATGTGAATATGAATTTTATAGAGAGATTAAGAAAAATGTGTGAATTTGTGAAAGAATGAAATAGAGATAAAAATCACTTTCCTTAGTATATTTTCCCCAAGAAAATAATGCAAAACTCATTGATAAGTAGTGTCATACATATGAATGTCTTACCTCCCTCGCTACCTCCCTCCTCTCCTCTTTATCTCCCTGTCATTTTTTTTATTTTGTTAAGCTAGCTTCAACCAAAACTTTCTGGACTTTCTAAACCACCTGCTATCACTGTTTGTTTGATTTTCTAAGCCTCTCTCTACTTAAAACCTGATTAAGGCACATATTTGTTTTAAGTAATTTTGAATTATTTGTGTTTGGAAAATTCCTGATGCCCCTTGAGATAGCCTGAGGTGCTAAAAAATAAAATGATCTGTCCTTCCTTTTTCTTAAGGAGGACTTTAATATTTTTTTCCCCCCACAGGATTCAGACAAACACAAAGAAACCAATGTTTTTGCTGATTTTTTAACATTACTTGGGGGAAATGAATAACTTGGTTTCTGGATTCTTCTATTTTGATGTCCATTCTTAAAAACACAACAAGATTAAAATTAAAAGCATAAGTTTTCCTTAGGAAATGTTGGTTTCCTCTATTCTTTTGTCCTCTCACAACACAGAGATCACAATTAAAAACATAAGTTTTCTTTGGGAAATGTGATGACTTTCTCAGAAATTTGAGGGAAACAACAGAGATAATGAGTTTTCAATTTTCTTTTCTCACAATTATAGTTTATGGCAACTGTTTTTAAAAGAATACTGTTTGTTTTTAGCCATATGAGTAGTCAAAGAAAACTTCGGACCAAAACAAAACAAACAAAACAAAAAACTTTTCTTTCCTAGACTACATTTGTAATATAATGAATAGTTAGATGGGCTTTGAGTCTCTCTGACTTTGTTTCACATTTACCCTCTATCAGATTTTAGACTTCATTTCTTCAACTTTAGAATGAATATGACCATACCTACCTACTGGGTTATTGTGAAAATTAAATCATATAAAATGCTTAGCTTAGTAAGCATTTAATAAGTGGTGTCTATTGTGATTAGAGTGACAAAATACCTGAAGCCATCTGCTAAACATTATGGATTACATGATTCATGTATTCAACATCACAGAGGGGTGATAGATCCCTCCACATAATTTATAGTAACTCCAACTGTAACCCAAACCAACCAAAGAGCTTTACCTGTTCTTTAGTGTGTTAAACTATCGCCTTCCCTTTGTTACAAGCCATTTCCATCTCCTAAGCGTCTCTTCTCTGTGATAAAGTATCATCCATTTCTCCCCACCTTTTCTCATCACTCTGATTGCTTGTTTTTGGATCCTTTTCAACTTTGGTTATCAAATGTAAGAAGGTTCACGTCAGGTGTATAGGTTGGGAATTATTTATTCTCAAGACATGAGATACTGAAACATAGACTATGGCAAGGGATAGCAGTTTTTTTTTTTTAAATATTTATTTATATAAGAACTGGGGTACAGGCCAGATGTGTGGGAGGGTGAGAGGATTCACCAGAGACAGAGCAGGGAACAGAACAGGCAAACTGACAAAATACACTGCTGAGGGGAGCAGCGGGCACGACAGGAGAGGTCTGCGGTGCCATGTGGGACCCTTGCCTGCCGTCTGGGATGGAACCAGCACTCCAGAGGCTGCGGACAGCTTCAGAGCGCTGCGCTCAACTGCCTGCGCCACCAGGGGAGGCCCAGGGATAGCAGGCTTTTATACCAAGTTCTTCTCAAAGACAATGATTGGTAACCCTATTTTCTTCCCAAAATGTCCAAGGAAAGGATCAGTATAAAAAAAATTCTCAAACTATTTTCTGTCCTTAAAATTTTCACTCTCCATTTTTAATAAAAATTTTATTGAAATAGAGTTGGTTGACATAGATTTCTAGTTTCATCATCTGCCTATGCTGCACTATGATCACCACCAAAAGTCTAGTTTCCATCTTCTACCACACACCCAACCCCTTACTTGTACGACCACCATTTTGGTCTTATAGTCTAAGAATTTGTTTTGTTTGTTTTATTTTTTAATTTTCTTCATGAGTGAAAATATACAGCATTTGTCTTTATCCATCTGACCTATTTAATTTTTAATTTTAATTCCATTAGGCCAATATTTTCCATGTTTGAGAAACAGATTCTATTAAGTTGGCAAGGGACAAATTATATTTATGTTTACACTTATAATTACTATTATATATTGAAGATACATAATGTGAACGTTCACATATAAATACAAACTGAATAATAGAAAAAGTACATTTGAATACAGTGTTAATGCTCATAAGTAATTTTGAGTATATGTTGTCTCTGAAGTAAAATGAGGAAAGACTATTAGTTTTCTAAGTCTTTAATTCTAAAAACCAGTTCTCAAAATTTCAGCTGGTGTATAAATTATCTAAAATGTCTATGTTGCTAAAATGTAAACACTAATAAAGAAATTAAGAGATTCATAACATTTTAACATTGAAAAAGAATTAAACATCAGAGGATGAGGAATTTTAAGAAATTCATAACATTTTAACATTGAAAAAGAATTAAACATCAGAGGATGAGGAATTTTAAGAAAATGAATAGGGGACCATATTTGATTTCAAATAACACTGTAAGTAAGTTGCTAAACTTTGCAAATATCCCATATAATTCTCACTGCACTGGCTAAATGTTTCCTCTTTGCAATGTTGTGTTAATAAAATGAAATCATCCACTGCATAGGTGCCTCACTGCATTTTGTAACAAGGCAACCATTCAATTATAGAACTTTCCTTAAAATTTATATTGCAAGACTCCTACATTCTGTGGATATAGACATTGGTGTGGTCACCTCCTCACTTCATTTTATACTTAGTTTATGCAAATAATGGAGACATGGTCTTATGAACATACTGTAAAATGTTCTGTGAATGACCTCTCCCTGCTCTAGTAAACAAGAGAGCAAGGCTTCTGTATAGACTTGAAGTCTGTGAAACAGCTATGTAAAATCTGCTGCCTTCTTGTAAAGACAGTCTTTGTGTCTCCACAGTTCATTCCTTAAAAAGGAAGAGATTAAAGCCCAGCATTGTCTTCCTTTTGCCATAGATGGCATCAACATACCTTTCGTTTAAAAATAACTTAGAACCAGAAGCCACCCTCTCAACAATAATTGCATTCTTAATGTCAATGACTCACTGTTCCTACCTATATAAACTAAATTCAAACTTGTGATTACTGGAACAGTTTTCACAAAGTAAAATCTGTCAGATTGCTTCCTGGTTTCAAATCCTTACTTTGATTACCTAATAAGCACATTGTATGACTATCATTGAGACTTTCACTCCAATTAATAGAGGGAAGATGAAGATGAAAGTGAGCTAGAGAAAAAAGTAGACAAAAGTGATAGCTTTAACTAAAGAAGCCTGGGAATTTGTGTGCATCATTTTATGCATTGCAATGCATAAAAACATGCATTATATATCATACAATAAAATGTCCAGGGCTGGAATTATGGCTCACAATACCAATCAATGAGCATTCAGATATTTTTCATTTTTCTTTACATTCTCAAAATTGTAAGTTTATTGTCCCAGAGAAGCTACAGTCTCTTCCTTGAAAAAGAACAGGAGGAAAGGGAAGAGGAGCAGAGAAGCAAAATTATCCCACAAGCCCTCAACTAAAGTTTCATGGACCTGAACTACATCAGGAGACCACCCTTGATACAAAGAAGTTGGAGAAAGTAAATATTTTTAACCAGGTACATTATCATTTTCCAGCTAAACTGGGTTCTCTTTGTAAGGTACAAAGAGAAAATGGATATTAGTTGAGGAGACAACAGTTTCTGCTTCCCAAATGAGGAGAATTTAGGAAATTTCCTCTTCCCTGGGGCATCAAAGGAAAGCAAAGGTTATTTACACATGTCTGTGAGTTTAAAACATTCACATTCCTTAGATATTTTTGCTACTTAAAATGAATAAATTAGTCAATACTTACAATAAACCTGTAGCTCAATAAACCAATTTAATATTCTAAATTACCCTATTTTGGTTTTCATGGTATAATTTCAGATAATTTTTAAAAGTCTACATTGAAAACAAGAGACCAATATCCTAGTTCATTTTTCAGCAATAATGAATGAATGCCTATATGCCAGATGGTATTTA